CAGGTCTTCCCCGGCGACACCTCCCAGGAGAGACTGTACGACAGCACCGTGGCCCCGCTCGTGGAGGAGATGCTGGAGGGATTCAACTGCACCATCTTTGCCTACGGTGAGGTCCCAGGGTTCTGCTCTCGTAATGCCTGGCTTATGCTTGTTGATTGTAATGCAGAGTGACACATCTCACTTTGCACTGCCAAGCTTCCACGTGGCAGGACTTGTGCTGAACTTCAATCCCCCTCCCTTCCCGACTTGGTCAATTGCAGGGCAGACGGGCACGGGCAAGACCTACACCATGACCGGGGGTGATCTGGCGCAGGGCTCGGCCGAGATGACCGACTCGGCAGGCGTCATCCCACGTGCCATCCACCAGGTTTTCTCCTACCTGGAGTCCCTGGGGGCCCAGGAATTCACGGTCAAGGCCTCCTACCTGGAGCTGTACAACGAGGAGGTCACCGACCTGCTGGCCCTGGGCAGCGAGCCGCCCAAGGTGGAAAAGAAAGGGGGGGGAGGAGGGACTGGGGTGATGGCGCACATAGGTCTGCTCTATGGAGTGTAGAATGGGAATTCGAGGGCAATAATGAGGATGCATGGCCATGCTGGCAGAGAGGGGTGGACATCAGGCCGTCTGATGTAGATGTTTGCCCCTCGACCCCGCGCCCACCCAGCCAAAGGGCTCCCACCACCCCCACCTGACCAGGTGCGCATTCTGGAGGACCGCACGGGCGTGGTGCTAAACGGGCTGGAGGAGGCCCAGGTCCGCTCCGCCTCCGACATCTTCAGCCTGCTGGACCAGGGCACCGCCAAGCGGCGCACGGCCGAGACGCTGCTGAACAAGCAGTCCTCCCGCTCTCACACCGTCTTCGTCATCACCGTCAGCGTCAGGTGTGTGTGGGGGGGGTGGGGCGAGGGGGGTGTAGAAGGTGCAGCCTTGGTATGGAAACCTAGCAGGCAATTGGTGCCTCGCGGAGCCCCCTTCACCCAATCTCGAGGGGATTGCATCGCTTGGCACCATGGCTCCAAAGCAGCCCGGGCAGCACGATGAGACCGCTGATGGTCCCAGCGACACCCCTTCCTCGGTGCATATCCCAAACACTGTGTCTTCACCCTTCAGCGAAGTCGTCACGCACAATTTTCACACCCACTTCCAACAGGGAGATCCTGGCGGAGGGCGAGGAGGTGATCCGGGTGGGCAAGCTGTACCTGGTAGACCTGGCCGGCAGCGAGAACATCACGCGCTCGGGCGCGGTGGAGCAGCGCGCCAAGGAGGCCGGCAACATCAACAAGTCGCTGCTGACGCTGGGGCGCGTCATCACCGCACTGGTGGAAGGCCAGGGCCATGTCCCCTACCGCGACTCCAAGCTGACGCGCCTCCTGCGTGACTCGCTGGGAGGGCGCACCAAGACCTGCATCATCGCCACCATCGCGCCCACCGTGCAGTGCCAGGTGGGGGGCTGGAGAGTGGGATGATTAGGGGGGGGTGGGGGCGCGGGGGGATGGGGGTGGGGGCGCGGGGGAGGAGGGGGGGGGGTGCAAAGTGAAGGGAGGTGTTGAGGGGTTCCCACTTAACACACCCCCGGCGGACAATACCCGCACCTGACGCTGCCCACCCATCCACAGGAGGAGACACTGTCCACGCTGGAATATGCGCACCGGGCTAAGAACATCAAGAACAAGCCAGAGGTGGGGTGTAAGATGTGTATTAAAAAGGAAGGCAGGATGTGCCTGCCTGGATTGGGTGACTGGGGCAAAGGGGGTGTGTCTGCATCTAGGAGGAGACAAGAAGGAGGCCGTCTCTGTGTCGGCAAATGGCATGGGTGCCTATAAATGTTGCGTGGGGTTAAAAAACTGCAGGCACGGGACAAGATCTTTGTTACACGACGCTGCCTGGCCCAGCTCGCTCAGGCATCCCCTTCCCTCCCTCCCATCATCAACGCAGATCAACCAGAAGATCTCCAAGACCACGCACTTGAAGGAAATGAATGTGGAGATCGAGAAGCTGAAGCTGATGCTCAACGCCACGCGCGAGAAGAACGGTGGGCGCGTTACTGGGGCGAATGAGCTGGACGCTGCTCAGCATTTGTGGGAGACCTGGTCGTGGAGGGGGAATCAGGCCATTCAGGGTGCCACAATTTACAAGCAGGCCCACCAAGTAGGGGTCTGGCCTGGGGTATCAATACACCCTTGGAGACATGGACCCCATGCCTGCCAACATTCGCCCTACGCTCAACGTTCGCCTCCCCACAGGCGTGTACATCCCCACCGCCCAGTATGATGAGGAGTGCGAGGAGAGGAAGTTCCTGAACGGCAGGTGGGACTTGAGAGCTTGGCGATGTAATGCTCTTGGAACCCCTTTTCCAGAGAGTCTGCTGTGCAATGCAGCTTGCCTTGGCAATGCACAATAACAACCTGGCTTGCTCTGAGCAGATCTACGCCCTCTTTCCTACAATCACACTCACTCCCCGCGCCAGGGTCCTGGAACTTGAAGAAGCCGCAGAGGCCAGCGGCGCACAGCACGAGGCAGAGAAGGCTGAGCTGGCCGCCGCGGCCGAGAGTCAGCGCCAGGTCCTGGAGCAGCGGCTGGAAGAGGTGGGAAGGTGTGGGGTTGTGAGTGGCTGGGTAGAGACGAGGGATGGCAAGCCGAGGAACATGTGGTTGGGGAGCAGCATGCATGAGCAGGAGCGGAGGAGAGGCTTTCGAGCACAATCCACGAGGAGAGGCATATGTCTCAGGGATGTGAAGCCTGCAAAGGGCTGCATCACAGCCTCGCTCGTCCCCTTGACGTTTCACAAAGCAGGTCGAGGCGGCGGCTGCCGTGCTGCGTGGCGAGCTGGAGGAGGCCCAGGTGCGCATCGAGGAGCGCGATCACCTCATCCTCTGCCAGCAGCGGCACGAGGCGGCGTTGGCAGGTGCGGGGCAGTGTGTAGGAGGGGATACGACGGCACCTTGGTCGTACCCGCAGGACTTCCTGCAGCATGATAGTCGAGGCACCGCACCGTCCGCATCGCGACCCCTCCTTGCTGAAGTACCTCGGGCTTCCCACCCAAAACACCCACCGCCGTGCCACACAATTACCGCAGACCACGCCTCGCGGCTGACGACAGAGCTGACGGCCGCGGCGGCGGACCTTGCCCTCCTGTTCACTCGCGTCGAGGCCAAACAGGCGCTGGAGGACGGCAACTGGGAGGTGGTCAGCGGGCTGCGAGCCCGGCTGCAGGAGCGCGTGGCGACGGCGCGGACGGCGCTGGAGGCGGGGACGGCGCGGGCGGCCCAGGCCACCCAGGAGGCCGGCCGCATGTGGGGCGAGGAGGCGGCACGCCGCGCCATGCGGCGCGAGCGGCTGGCAGCTGACGAGGCGGAGGCCGGTCGGGCATTGGACCTCATGTCGGCGGCGGGGAGCGGGGGTATGGAGGCCGCACGGGCAGCTTTCGAGGCTGCCGCAGAGGCGGCGGCTTCCGCGCGCTCGGAGCGGCTGGCCGGCGCGCGGACGGAGTGCGAGGCCGCGCGCGCGCGCATGGCGGCGGCGGGCGGCGCCGCGGCCGCCGAGCTGGCCCGGGTCGAGGAGCGACTGGGCGAGCTGGCGGGTGAGGCCGCCGCGGCCGCCGCACGCGACCGCGAGGGGCTGGAGCAGGTGGCGGCGGCGGGGGTCGAGGGGCTGGCGGCCGCGGCGGCCGGTGCGGGCAAGGTGGGCGAGGCCGCGGCGACCGCCTCGGCGGCGTCGCTCGCCTCGCTGGAGGTGGCGAGGCGGGAGCTGGCCGAGGCGCTGGCCGCGGGGCGCGCGGAGCTCCTGAAGGCGCTGGCCTCCGCCGCCGGCGAGTTTGTGAGCGGCGCCGAGGCGCGGCTGGAGGGCGCGGCCGCCACGCTGGCGGCGCGCATCGAGGGCGATGCGGCACGGACCGCGGTGGTGCTCGCCGGCGTCCAAGAAGGCGCCACCGATGCCGGTGCGAGGCTGGACGCGGCCGCAGAAGGCGCGCGGGAGGCCGCCGACGCGGGCGCAGCGCGGTTGGGCGCCGGCTTGGAGGCTACGCGGGCCGCCAACGAGGCGTCCCGCCTGGCCTTCAGTATTGTGGACGGCCTGGCCGGCCAGGCAGCGGACCAGGCTATCCAGCTCTTCGGCGACAACACCGCGGCCGAGGACAAGGCCGGCAGCGCGGCGCGCGAGGCTGTGGACCGTGCGGCGTGCGACGCGAGCGAGCAGCTGGCCGCTGCGGCCGCGGCGGCCGCGCACGTCGGCGAGGCACGGCATGCCGAGGCCGGGCGCCAGCTGGCGCAGGACGAGGAGCGCGCCGCTGCCCTCCAGGCTCTCAACGCCGCCGCCGACGCCGCGCTGCGCGAGACGGCGGCGGCCGTCGGCGACGGCTTGGCGGCGGTGCAGGCCGACGCGGGGTCGGCCCTGGGCACCAAGTACCAGCTGGACGCCCAGAAAGGTGCTGCACCGGAGTGGACAGGGTGCCGACGGGGCGCGAGGGTGGTTGCCGCCCTCCCACTGGAACAGAGGCTCATCACCGACCCCGGACACCCCTCACACTCCCACCCTCCTGCTCCCTCTCCCAGGTGCGGTGCCGTGCAAGAGGACGCGGTGGGTCCCCTCCGCCGGGCAGGTGGCGGACCTGCGCACTCCGGCCCACCCCCAGCTGCTGGCCGCCCTCCACGCGGCGCGGGGCGGGGTCGCTGGGACCGAGTCCCAGGGCGCGGCCTCGGTGCCGGCCACGCAGGAGGTCGTGCCGCTGGAGGCAGAGCCCTCCTCGTCGCCGCGGGGATCCGAGGAGGGGAGCGAGGAGGCTGCGCAGGGGGAGGGCATGCACGGCGAGGACGACCCCGGGGAGGAGAACCGCGACGCAGGTGTGTGTCTGTGCGTTTCGGGGTGTCGCCGCCCCGTGGCACTTGCGTCTGCAGACCGAGGGTCGTCGGGCAGAGGCCCCCAGCATGGGTGTGCCGCGCGTAGCGCAGTGCAGCGTGGCGGCAGGTGTGCAGCATCCCTCACCCACCCACCCCACCCTCCGGCCCAGGCAACGCACTGCCGGCGCTGGGCGTCGACCTGCCGACCACGGGGCTCAAGCTCCCCACCGTCGTGTCGCCCGGGGTGTCCGGGGTCAAGAGGGGCCGCCCGGGCACCTCCAGCGGCGCCGCCACCCCGGTGAAGGGGCGTGCCTCCCCGAGGGCCAGGGTGACCTCGCGGCGTGGCACGCGCCGCGCCGCCTTTGAGGTCTGAGGCGCACCTTCTTCGGCATGACCTTTCGGCTGGACCAAGTTTCCCCGGCGGCAATGGCGCCTCTCGGCCAGACCTCGGCTCCCCAGGAATGGCCCTCCCGGACACTCAGGCGACGGCTGCTGCGGCAAAGGGTCCCCATTCCCACCCCTGAACAATCTTGCGAGATACATCCACAAACGCTCTGGACCCTCCATGCGGTGCCTCACAGTGCCCTGCACGACCCACTCTTGCTTTGTTGACACACCCCACGTCCCTGACTGCCTCCCACGGTCGACAGCTCGCCTGAAGGGGCATGTACCATTGCTTCACACAATGCCGCCCAGGAGCAGACGAGGGTAAGCTGGACAGGCGCAGGGACCGCCAGGCACTACTTCTTCTTCTTCTGCTTGGGCTTGACCACGGGCTTGGCGGCCACCGCTACACCCTCATCATCACTGTCGTCATCCAGCGTGGCGGGGCGGGCGCCGCCCTTTCCACCAATCACCGTCTCGCCTCCGGAGATCTTATTGAGCGCCTCCAGGCCCGCAAAGCGCTTCCGGAACCGGCTGACGCGGCCCTCGTCTGTTACCATGGTCGAGTTGACGCCCCGGTAGAAGGGGTGGTTGCCAGACCAGATCTCCACTGCACACGAGGGGCAGGGCTTTTTATTGGTGAATGTGGGATGCCGTGCTGCCTCCCTCTCGTCACTGGCTCTCACATTGCAATACTTGGTGGAAGGCCAACGACATTGATAAATGAAAGAGCAACATGCACATTACCTTCCTCCTACCAAGGCATGCGTCTGCAATGTGCCACATGTGCCAAGCTAATCTCACCTGTGTAGTTGGGCTTCGTGCCGCTGGTCACAAGGACCTCCTCTCCGTTGCAGATGACCCGGGATTCCTCAAACCATTCGGGATGGATGTTCTTCTTGGCGCAGGCTACGTGAGACGGCACACACCGTCCCTGCGGGGGAGGTCCCGTGGAAGCAGAGTCGGCACGAATGCGTACAGCGAGAGGGACGTCAACGCACCACATACACAGCACATACTCACCCGTGGCGCCGTGTGCACTTTGGTAGGCCGAAGCGCAAGCGCATGGCTGCTGCCGAAGGCCACCGCCTGCTGCATATCTTATCCTGAGGTGGCACTCCCCCTTCCGCCGCTTCCCGAGCTTGGCCCCGGCAGATTATCAGAGTTTTGTTTGAAGTCGCGCGGCGGAGCCGACTTCGTCGCGGTAATGCGGTGGTGGGGGTGCAGTATTACGATCGTGCGGTGGGATGCGACACCCCCCTCATCCCACCTCGCGCGCGCGATCGGCCCGGCCATCAAGCGGACTGCAGGACTGCATGAGGAGTACCCTTCGACGAAGCTGAAACAAGTTCTTCGAGTGCAGGTGCAGTCTACCTCGAAATATGGCATAAAGGCGGGCTTGAGATCCAGCTAGTGCGATGCAGGGAGGCGTCCCTGCCGTGGTGGACACCCGTCTCCAGGCTGGGAGGGGGGAGGACTTCTCTGCGGCGAGGAAGAGGAGGGAGATCGATGAGCTGGCCGAGCTCGCAAACCTGGACGATGACGACTTCAGGTCTTGGCATGATTCCAGGCTCGGAGAGTCCTTCGACACCTGCTGGCAGGGTCTTCCGGGACCCCTATGGCAGAACCGATGCCACCACTTCCCAGAGGCCAGTCCCATGAACATCCCTAGTACCTCCATGCGTCACCACGCCCCACGACCCCATGCAGGCTTCCGATGGATCACAGGATAGAGGACGGCATGGACTGGAGTGCCACCCAGCGCATCTCCCTGGCCGAACCCCTCCCGGCCCACAACCTGGGCTACCGCCTGCTAGAGCGCATGGGCTGGAGGGGGGGCGGCTTGGGGGCGCGGGGCCAGGGCCGCGCGGAGCCCATCCCCCTGGAAGCCGGGGACAACGGCGTGCGGGCGGGGCTGGGACGCGGCGAGGTAGACTCACAGTACACAAGCGTTTCAAGCCGCCGCGCACTAGAGGTGGAGATGCAGGCAGACGAGGACGAAGGGCGCCGAATACGGAGGGAGGTGCGCTGAGAACTGACGTTACGTCTTGGGTGTGGGTTTCATGTTGGTGAAGTCCTACGGTGGTGGTGGTCTCTGGGCCAGCTAGGCTGGAGATTCCTTGGAGGTGTGGTTGACCTCGTGTTCAAGACACCCTCTCCATCTCTCACAATCTTTGCCTGGCTGGGCGCTCTTGGTCCCTCCCCCACACATCCCCTCTCTCGCCCCCACAGGCCGAGTCGGAGCGCGTGCAGCTGATCCGGGAGGAAGTGGTCGACATCCTGCGCACCTTCTTCTGCGAGGTGCTGTGCGACGGCGGTCTGCATCGAAGGAGGGTTTCTGCGCATTGAAAGCGGTCAAAGATCCCGCCGACCAAGTGGCCACATGGGCCTCTGGATGCCCAGCATGCGACTCCTGCCAGGAGGCACGGCCAGACCGTGGCCCCCCCATTCAGAAATGTCCTCCCTTCCTCCTCCGGTCCCAGATATGCAACAAGCAGTACCAGACCGCCATGCAGCTGGACGAGCACCTTTCCTCCTACGACCACCACCACCGCAAGCGCATGGCGGAGACGCACGCCATGCTGGCCGCGCGCGGGAAGAAGGACCGCGACAGGCGGCGAAGGAAGGAGGCCGACAGGGAGCTGGCGGCCCTAACGGAGCAGTGAGTGGGACAGCGCCGAGGTGATAATTATATGTCTACTCCAGCATGTGCGTGTGTCTTGTGGCGGGACAACGATGCCCCTGCCCAACACTCCCCGCACGCATCATCACACAGGTCTTTGGCGGCAGCCAGGGCGGCTGGCCTATCAGGGGCTGCTCCGCCTTCGCACCCAGCAGCGTCAGGGCCGGAGACTGCATCCGAAGCTTCTCTTCCCCACCCACCCTCCACAGCTGCACACGACATGCCTCCTCTGCCCTCCGACCCCGACGCTTCCCCCTTGCCTCCTATACCACCACCTCCTACCCTCCCAACACCCCCGCCCCCCAGCCTGCCCGCGGAGCCACCCCCCGCCCCCACGCCCGGCCTCAGCTTCAAGGCAAAGGGCGCTCTGGGCCGTAAGGCCCTTCCCAAGAAGGCGGTTTTTGGTCCTGACTCCGACTCTGACTAGTCAATGTTCCAAAAATGGGTGGCAGTGAATGCTAGGGAGCACACGCTAATGGGGAGGCATCTCTAAGCGCAAGTACAGAGCGAGGAGCAGCGGGGACTGAGTGCTGTCGGCGCGGGGGCACTCTCGGATTGCATTGAGCAGGGGGGGAAGCCAGGCACGGCGGCTGGCACCGGGGACCGAGGTCCCCATATCTAGAGGAGAACGACCCGGCGGTGCCTGCTGTCCGCGCCGTGCCGTGCCCCCTCCACACACTCACAGGATGAATGCACCGGGTGGGAAGAAAGGGTGTCTCGCTGAGGGACGCAAAAAGGAGACGAGGAAAACGAGGGGGGCACATCACAGGGCGGTTCCACAGGGAGGGAGCGACGCCTGGGGAGCGCATGATCCCAAGGGATTCAGTGTGTTCTCGGGGACTGGACTGGGTCTGCCCGCCACGTGGGGTGTCGGTCAGTCGCCGCACACCCAGGTCGGTGCATGGCAAGGAGGGTCGACAAGTGGTACGGTTGGAGGAACGTCGACACTGGCAGGCATCGATGCACACTCGGATGGCGGCAGCGTGTTGGCCGCCACCGCCTCGCTGCTCGCTCTTATTCATGCAGGTCGCTGCTCGTTCGTCTGGGAGGTCCATGGACGGACGTGGATCTGAGGCGCCAAAAACTTCCCCGTGGCTCCACCTCCGATCTCAGGGCGCCACGACGTCCAGGCCCAGGGAGGAGGGCAGCGCGCCGCGGCGCGCCAGCTGGCGCGCGCGGCTGCCGCCCGACCCGGACCCCTGGCGCGACATGCGCGCCGCGACGCGCCGGCGGCGCGCCAGCGGCGTCAGCCCCGCCAGCACGTTGGCACTGTCGTCTGTGCAGGCGTGTGCGGAGGCGGCTGCAAGGCCAGCCGCCTCCGCGCCGCCCGGCGCGGTGCGCTCCTCCAGCAGCGGCAGGCAGTCCTCCGCCGCATCGTACAGCTCGTCGGCGCAGGGCGGCGGGGGGGCGCCCGCCGCCTCCAGTAAGCGCAGGCTCGGCGAGCGCTGCGGAGCCGCCGCGCTTTCTAGCGCCACGAAGCTGACCGAGCGCGAGCGCGGTGCAGAGCGCGGCGTCGATGGGTTCTTGCCGTTTGCGTGGAGGGACTCCGGCACCGGGGGGTCTGCACCACCTGCAGGGCGGTGTTCAGCCCGCGCCCCTGACCCCGCCAGCGCCTCGGCTGCATTGGCTTCAAACGCCGCCGGCCCCTTGGCCCCCTCCTCCTCCCCCGCCTCCCCACCATCCCCCGCTGCCTCGGCGCGCTGGCGCGCCGCGGCGCGCTCCCAGGTGGCGACCTGGTGGATGCAGGCGTCCAGCGTGGCCTCGATGCCGCAGTTGCACTGCACCGCCGACAGCTTGGCCCAGGCCGCGAGCTCGCCGGCGCGCGCGCCGGCGCGCAGCCCGCCGCGCCCGCCGCCGCCGCCGGCCAGCACGTCGCGCGCGTGGCGCAGCGCGTCGCCCGGGCTGATGGTCACGTCCCCCGTCCACTCCGCAGCGAGCGCGCGGAGCAGGGGCACGGCGTCACCGACCCCTGGCGCCGCCTCCAGCAGCTGGCGCGTGCGGTGCTTCAGCTCGGCGCCCAGGGCTGCGCCCGGCCGCCCCGCCGCTCGCGCGGCGCGCAGCAGCGGCACCACCAGCGGCGAGGCCTGGGACACAATGAAGTGGTTGGCGCTGAACATCTCGCTCACCGCGTGCAGCGGCAGGGCGGCGGGGGCGGGGCGCGGCGTGGCGCCCCGCCGCGCCGCGTCCACGCGCACGGGGCCGTCGGGGCCGAGCGCCACCAGTCCCGCGCCGGCCGGCGCGGCGCCGGTGGCCGCGGCCACCGCGCTCCACACGAAGACGTGCGGCGCGGTGAGGTAGTTGAGCAGGCGCGGCGGCGCGCGCGGGCCGCCCAACCCCGCCACCGCCAGGTTGAGCACGCGGCCCGTGGCATTGAAGGCCTGCATGAAGGTCAGGTCGCCCAGCGCGTGACGCAGGCGCAGCAGCGCCGCCTCGCGCCGCGGGTCGCTCGGGGTGCGGGTCACAGCGGGGGGGGTGGCCGGGGGCCGATGTGGAGGCGCCTGCATAGGAAGGCGCACTCGAATCGACCGCGTCGCCCCCGCCGGGGGACGCATAGCAGCCGCCGCTGAGCGCGATCCGCAGCAGGCCGCCCGCGCCGCCCAGTTGGCCAGCAGCGGTGGAGAAGAGCGCGGCATCCACTTCGTCCAGGCCGTTCAGCAGGCGCGCCAGCTGCGCGTCGTTGCGCGTGGCCATGAGCCCACACACTATGGCCCCCGCACCGGTGCCGGCGATGACGCGCGGCAGCATGAAGTGCTCCAGCAGCGCCCGCACGACGCCCAGGTGGAACCCGGCCACGTCGCCAGAGCCGGTGAGGACGAGGGCGGTGCGGCCAAAGGCATGCCGCGTCTCCCTCAGGAAGGTGGACCGCTGGGCCAGGGGCAGGTCGCCGCAGGCCGCCACATCCTCCAGCTGGCCCTTCACCTCCTCGATGTACTCCCGGATGGGCTCAGGGCAGACGGGGAAGAGGTCGTGCAGGTCGGGCGAGGTCATGCCGCCCAGGTCGCGGAGCAGGTCGGCGCGCAGCGCGAACATCTGCTCGCCCAGCGTGCCCAGCGCGCGCACCTTGCGCAGGTGCGCCACCTTCTCGCGCAGCAGGCGGCGATCGTAGAGGCGGGCCTCGGCGCGGCGGCGCGCCGCGGGGTCCGCGCCACGCGCCGCGTCCAGCTTGGTCGCCAGCACGCTCCACTCGAAATAGGACTTGGCCTCGGACATGCGCAGCGCCAGGCGCGCGCGCACGCGCGCGCCCTCGTCGCGAGCGTCCGCCAGCCGCCTGCGCACCCCCTGCACCACGCCGTACCCGACGCACGCGGCTGATGTTTTTGTAGAGGGAGGGGGGTGGTGGGATGGGGTGGGTTGGTGGGAAGAGGGGGGCGGGGAGGCGTGGAGGGAAGACTGCGGCAGTGCAACGACATCCTGGGCGAGACATGCTCCAGAGACCTCAGTACAGCAAGACCCCCACGATCGGGGTCTTGCTGTACTGGACTGAACGCGGAGCCGCGCTGGCGGTGCGCTCGGTCTGCCAGGCAGGCCTTGGAGAGGGCTGGGCAGGGCCCTCCCGCCAAGGCCCTCCACCCCACACACAAGGTGGTGGCAACGTGTCCGGGGCCCGACCGGGCCCTCGGGGTCCCTCCCCCATGGTCTCACCTGCAGCGACATGCCACCTACGCACGTTGACCAGGCTGTACCGACTCAGGCTCTGCAGCCAGGCCAGCTGCACGGGGGCGCTGAGGTATCCGAGCACGTACAGCGCTCTCCGGAGCAGGTCCCTGGTAACCTGCCATACGCTGACTCCGAGGAGGAGCTGGCCGCTGACCAGGTTTTGTACGGGGTTGAGAATGCCACTCAGGGACAGCACGATGCGGGCCAGGGACACATTGAGCAGGAGGCGAGTCACGGAGACACTCGACGGAGCGGGCGAGGGGGGGCTACCGAGGCCCGCGGACTTCCCCTGGGCCTTCATTTGCTTTTCAACAACAGCACATTGTAGTCTTGGGGCCAAATGGGTGTCGGAGCCATATGCTTCGCACGAGCCGAAGATATGTCGCTACCGGGCTTGCGCCGGTTGCACAGCTGCTTCCCGCGAACGGGATCTGACTGGCGCAGTTGGTTGCCTCTAATGGCGAACCAGAGGGGGTGGGAGGGCGGGAGAAGACTAAGCAGGGGGGCCACCAAATGCTGTGGGACGAAGTGCATTCTCAAAAAAGCACTTGGTTAGCATCAGCATGTTGGCCGCTCCGTTCACGTCGCGGTTGACAACATGGACTCTGCAGCCCTTGTTGACACACCGCTTGGTGTCCCACACGTCCACCAGCTTCTCCTCGCCATTGCGCACCCGCACGTACTGGTGGGCGTGCAGGGTGGCGTGACAGGCGCAACACAGCTTTGATGACCTGTGTTCGTCGACCACCACCACCACCCTGCACACCCGCCGCAGGCGCCGCAAGAAGCGTATCCAAGGCCCAGGCGGAGTACCCCGCATGATGCCCCCCCGGTCCTGGGCCGACCAGTTGCCCACGCCGACAATTGTAGTCATGCCGGGGGGAGCGCGGAACTGCTCCGCCAGCCGGGTGATTGCCCGCTCCCTGCCGACGTAGGCCTGGTGCCGGAGCTTCCGGAATGGCTTCTTGTCCCGGTGCCAGGCCAGGCCCTCTCGCAGGTCTGGGACGATCTTCGCGACCCGCGACAGGAGCACCTCTGTGCTCGCTGTCTTATAGGAAGGGCACCTGCGGGAAGAAGGGTTTGAGCAAGAGGGTTGGTACAGTTGGAGCGATGCGAGGTGTCGTGACACAGTGCCTGCCCCTGCGAGGCATACCCCTGCATTAACTCCACAAACCAATCACCACTCACTGGTGCAGCTTCTTGACATAGTCCGGGGCCTTTGCGTGCCACTTCGCAATGACCCCCTCCCGCCGCTTGGACCCCGACATGGCGTGGAATTCCTTGGAGGAGCAAGATGTCACGTTGGCATGTTCATCGATAGCCGTGAACATCTTGGTCCGCCCGGGTCCGATGCCCACATACATGTGTACCTTGGCATCCTCTGGAGGAGGGTCCCGCCTGCAAATTTTAGCGGGGGGGGGAGGGTGAGTCATGTTGTGGGAGCGCGGCACGTGTGGGTGGTTGGTGGGTGAGTGCGTAGTTGCGTAGGGTGGCGCACTTTGCTGCTGGTGTACACCACATCCACAGTCACTGCC